GTCAACAACACTAAACTAAACTGAACTCTTGAAGGCAATGCCTTATGATATGAGTCAATGTCTGCATGTTTTTAACCTATTCTTTAATTTAAAAGGTAAATCTGAAAGGGGGTGTAATGGATAAATAATTACACATGACCTGGGTAGATTTTTTAGCCTTTGCTATATGCTAATGTATCATAAGGCCATTTTCATGTCAGAATTCAGCTTAAAGCATGGACATTTTCCCTGCTTACATATCACAAAATCAATAAAATCAACACTTGTTACAGAGAAAAACCTTAAGTCATGCAAATCGATTAACCTCCATTTCTCCCTCAGTAAACTCTAAACAAGCTTGGATCCTTCCTCCATCCCAAGGAGTCTGTGGACATGAAAAGAAGCAGAGGATCTTGATATAGGTTAAAAATAATCAAAATGGGGAAAATAATATTCCCTCTGCAGGGTTGCTATGAGATTAGAGATACTATAATGGGCACAAAGTGATCAATAAATCACAGTAATGATTATTATTTATCAGCATAATTAGGAGGTGCCATAGTAAAAGGGTCAAAGCGTAGGATTTAGAGTCAGAAAGAATAGCTCCATTGAATAGCATGGCAGGAAATAAAAACCAGTGTTGTCAAGTGAACAACATCGAGACCTTTGTGAATCACACTGATATTGCATGACTCCGTGATAGTGTCTGACTGTGGGCCTTGCGGGAGAGGGAATGGGGAGGACTGGGAGAGGCTCTCAATCCAGAGGGAGAAACAGTTGCGCAGCGGAAGGTTCAAAGTGCTCATGCCATAACCTGTCTCTCTTCGTCTCAAATATTCTAAAGGGAGGCTACGGTTCAGGGGGAGGGGGAAAGAGCAGGTCCTTGCTCTAAATATCGATTAAACAATCAAAGTGCTCTCTGTAAAATGCAATTTTGATCAAGGCATTTGTCTATTTAAAAGACTTCAGTGACTCACCACGGCTTTGGAATACAGCCTGTAGCATGCTTTACCAAGCCCCAGAGCCCCACCGGCTTCTCCACCCGGCTACGCCGTCAGACCCACTGCCACACCATACCGTCCGCCCTCCGTGCTCTGCACAGGCTACTGTTCCCACCTGTGACGGCCCTCCCTCCATCTTCACTGAACTGCCCTTCAGGGACCATCTTGTACATCCCACTGCCTTCTCCAGGAAGCCTTAATACCCGGTGAGAGGCCTCTCCTACCGCATGCCATCGAACTTCGTGCTTCCGCATCTGAATAAGCCACACTATATTGCAATCGCTTGTCTACCTTGTTTTCTTTACTGTTCTTTGACCATCTTACTTACTCACCTTTGTATCTCCAGTGCTTTACATAGGACAGGAAACATAGCAGGTGCTCAGAAAGAAACAAAACACCACAAAACAAAAAACCTGTCGAGTGAATGAATGCATGAAGGAAAGAATGAATGACCGAGAGGCTGAAGTTGACGCCTGGGAGAGGAGATGAAGGAAGAGCTCTTTCCATTACAGGGCAGATCGCCCTGCCTCCCTAAATGGGAAGGAGTGAAAGAGACAACAGCATCATTCTTCCTACTCTCTTTGGGTACTAAGCTTGGATGAACCATAGGGTTGTCCTTCAATGAAAACAAAGTGATCTTATATTTTGAAATAAAAAAAAAAAACTTTCCAGTTTACTTTTTATGGGTGACCAGACAGAACTGAACCTTTCATCCCTGACTTTCCTCTAGAAGCAACAGTTTGGTATTTGCTGATTTAGTGTCCAAGCCAACTTTACAGAACATAACTGCCACGGACAACAGGAATCAAAAGTCTATTGATCTAAAAACCTGCAGAGGATTAAAGACGTCACCAGGGTGACTGGCCTCTTCATCTTTCTGTGCTGCTGAACCAGTCTCCATAAGAAGAGGGTCTACGATAGCTTAGGCAGAAAGAGACTTGGGCTTGAATCTCAGGCCTGCCATTTACTAGCCATGTAACCGTGTTCAAGACGCTAAACCCTTGCTGTCTCATTTTCTTATCTGTAAAATGGGTACAATACCTTTTAAAACCCAACCTACTTCACAGGATCACACACAGAATCACACACAGAATCACATAGGTCCTGTGGGTGAAGAGCATTTTACACAATCAAGTACTATGCACATATAAACTACATTATTCCTTTATATTGTAATTCCAAATGTAAAATTAGTGTATTTCACAAAGAAATGTATGTAACACAATAAAGACCGCCTCATTAAAGACTAATAACCTTCTTATATTCCAGATTTCAGTGGGAAAAGCCAAGAATGCAGGGACAAAATGAAGCTGATGTTATGTTACGGAGTTACAAATGACAAACACGAAAGGACTGACTGAACACATTTGAGAATAAATAAGTGAATAATAATGACTCCCCCTTTCCTTGACCTTTGCCTAACCCCCCTCCCCACTGTTCAGTCCAGCTAGAGTCCCTAAGCACTGAACTAGGCAGAGGGGCGGAGGAGCTGAATTCTCAGTAGCCTAGGGGCAAGAGCCACTGTACCTACACCTGCCTCCTATGTCTGCCTCCAGCCTTCCCTCATCTGTGGGAGGTACCACAGCGAGAGCTCTTCCATCTCAAATCCCCAACCTCTGAGGAGCACTGCCTAGCCTCCTGACTCTCTGGAGCGTCCCTCACCTGGTATCCCTCTAAATACACTTTAAGAAAAATTAGGGAAACTAAACATTACTTAGGATTTAAGAGAGTGCCTCACTTTTCTCCTTCACGGGCTGCACACCAGTTTGTGCATAAAGGTGAGAGAGACTCCCATGACAGCCTTTTCCAAGCCCTGTATTTCTAACTCCTACATCAACGTCCTCAGGATCTCCAAAGAGCTTCAGATGAAAACAGTGAGGTCTGTGCACCAACCACCTCTTGCCAGATAAAGTAAAATAAGCATCAAACATCAGAGACTCCAGGAAATCTTTATCGAATCACGGTCTTCTCTCCTCTAAGAAAGCAAAAAACACTAAGACATGGTTAGGCCAAACCAAACCTATGTGTCCAGCCTTCTGTTTCATCCTATTTCTTAAAATGTTTATAAATCATAAGAAAAGATATTTAAATGCCCAAAACCTATTTGTTTTAATAGTGAAATGGTGGGGTGGGGAGGGGGGTGGGGGGGGCAAAAAACCCAGGGCCTTTGGTCCTGGTCTTGTTTTATTTACCTTTCTGTACTGACAAAGGAGAAGCCAACCTAAAAAGGCTGACACCTGTTCTGTTTTTAGCAAAGCTTTTCATTCTCAGGCCCTCCAACAGGTATGCTCGTACCACACAGTAACCCTGCTCCGCTCAGGCCATTCCTAAATCCCGCCAGTGATGCGAGAGAGCAGGGCTTCCGTAAAATCCTCGGAGCCAGGACAGCACTGAAAGCCTGACATTCCCAAGGAGCAATCTTCTCCATCCTGAGTCTGCTGAACAAGGAAAACCTCTGGATGGCCAGGAAGAACGCCTCTTACTACAAATGCATTTCCTACAGACTAATGTTGTGCATGCTGCCGTCATTCATGGGGCTAATTTTAAAACAGACCTTTGAAGTCTCGCCTCTGTCCCTCCTCCACTCTCACTGCGACTTCTCTTCTTGCCCCATGCCTGAGTGAAGAAGGGTCACAACAGCCACTCGGCTGGGGCGGGTCTCTGGATCCTCTCCTCCCTGCTCAAGGCAGAGAAGCCCCAGCACAGGCAGCAGCTAGCAGCTGGTGAGGAGGGCAGAACCTTGGGCCCCACCCCAGGTCTCTCCCGGCAGAAACTGCACTGGAGGAAGATCCCAAGCGATACACACAACATGCATCAAAGTTTGAGAAGCACCGCTCCACGCCATCCATCAGCACCGCCAGCCAGCCGCCGCTTCTCGGGTAAAGCAACACCTGGCCTAGGAAGGCCCAGCCTACTTTCCGCTCCTAGCGTGCCCGCGGAGAGTGGGGCTGTTCTCCGGAGCACAAAGGGAGAGTACCTGGCACAGCACTTGGCAGCCACCGGAAGGCCCTCAAGGAACACGTTTCCTTTCCTTCCATCTGTTCACCGCTACCGACATCCTCCTGTCTCCTTCAGCTGCTCTCTTTCTTCTCATGGTACCTTCCTCCCAGAATCTAAAATGGATCAGCTGGTGCAGTGATTCGCCAGACTCTAACGTCAGAATTTTGGCTCTACAACTTACTTGCCGGCGAATCAGGAAAACTACTTAGCTTCACTAGGCCTCAGTTTCTTCCTCTGTCAATGAGGATGCTAATAACACTGCCTTCCCCGTTGGGGTTGCTGTGAAGTCTCAGTCTGGTATTGGCTATCGCTGGCACATGCTGTGCAGGTCGGGACCTGTCCACTGACGAACTCAGTTTGGACACCTCCCTCCCCTTTACAGGACTACAGCGCTGAAGGCCAAGCCACACGACTCAGCAGCTCATTGTAACTCTCCCATAGAGGTCTCTGTTTCTGTTGTGGGTTTTGTCCCCTAACCTGGATCTTAAAAGAAAGGATGGTTGCTGTTTTTACAGACTGTAAAAGTAATTCATGCTCATTATAGAAAATACAGCCAAGTATAAAAAAGAGAAATAAATTATCCACCAGCTCACCACTAAGAGACAGTTGTTAACATTTTAGAGTACTTTCTTCCAAACACATAGATCTCATGTTTCAGGAGGGGAAGGTCCAGGTTTTAACGCTCGTGGAATCTTCCCTGACTTCCCCACGTCTGACACCTGTCCACACCCCCAGCGCCTGACGGAGCGCAGTGCTGAGCACTTAGCGGCTGACAAGACCACCTGCGCCTTAGCTGAGTGCTGCATGGATGTGGCTTGCCACTGCGTGTACGTGGGGACTGTCCACACACAGAAACAGGGGTGCTGTCGGAGTTAGTGACGTGCTCTGTTTGGCTCTTCGGTTCCGGCTGCTGTGAGTGTGCTCCCGTCTGCTCTGTGACTGCCGTTTGTGTTTGATGGTGAAAGTGTGTTTCTGGTGGAGCTTCACGTTTCCCTTTCAACGTACTCAAACTTCACGTACCTACAGGAATGGTCATCCCGTGAATTTTATCAGCCCAGCCTGCGTAATACCGAAGGGTTTTGATGACCCCCTGCAAATCCACATAAAAAGCTTGCAGGAACGGTTTGCCACCATTTAGGGATTCCATGGTCTGTAGGAAAAGAAATGAAGAGAGCTTTCTAAGTGATATACTAAATAATTTCTGGAGCAGAAGAAAAAAAGGAAGAGAGAGGCTATGAATGAATATGAATAATGATGCATACCTGGTCAACTCTGACTTCCCAAATCCACAGATTTTTAGCATCGCCAGTTTAGTTTAGCTTCTAGGAAAGCCACAATGACTACTCATGCGCATGTTCGTGTGCCTGGGTGTCCCCAGAAACCACTACCGCAATAACACATAAACGTGACGTTTCCTCAACTGATGATAAAGAAATGGTCTGCCTGTCAAACCAGCTTCTGTTGTATTAATGATCAGAGCTGCGTGGGGATTTTTTGGAGTCTACACCAGTAATCTGACTCTATAAAGAGAAGCAGGGACATGGGCTTTTATGCGACTGATGAGAATATAAAACGTTTTCCACTGCTGCCAAGACCCCTGCTGAGAAACGGAATATCCACAGTGCACAGCGAGTTTATTTATTACTATCAAATAAACAAGATCTCCTCTAGGGAAGCTCACACTCTAACAACTTCAGGGCTGGTTTTTTGTAAATATTTATGTTAACAACCATTACCTATTAATAGGGAAGTATCTGGTCCATTTAATAAAAATAGACATATTGAGCAGTTCTAGATTATAAATGTTACTGTTTGAATGACATATTCTGTAAACTGCTTAAATCTGTAGCAACAACTAAAAAATCCAAATGGACACACTGAAATGAGAAAAGAGTATTTCAAGTTGAGAAATATCAAAAGTGTTACAAGTTTAACAAATTAAATAAGCAAATACATGTGTTTATAATCTCACGTCTTTCTCTGTAAGCACATTTTATAACATACTGGTGTAAGAACGACTTGAGTGCTGACAAAAGTAAAATGGAAATATTCTCCATTCGATGACATAAAAATACAATTACTTACGGTGCCATTTACCCACTTACTATGTGTAGAAGATGGGACTCTTTTTAAAAGATCACATTATCACTGTGTATTGGTTCCTCTTTATCAAAGGGAATCAAATTATCTCCCCATACTTTTTAGGATGTTTATATACTCGTGAGATGGGCACTACGTTCTCCATGCAGCCAGCACACGGCCAAAGTCTACACAGCACTGAATGAAGCAGAGTCAATAACCAGAATCTGGGCCACCTATATGGTCCCAATGAGCTGCTGACACCAGCCAAATTCACCTGTGTTTATTTTCAATTAATTATGTGTACTTGGATGAGGTATTAACTTCGCTCTCTGGTCAGGAGCTCCTCTATATTCCAGAGGCTATCTCTTAAAACTTACTCCTCCTATGGCTCGGGAGTGTTTAAAAGGAGAAATCTCCTTTAGGTGTAAGGGCAAAAAGGAATGGATCACAGTGAGACAGAACGTCAGAAAAAGGATGGCATTTGAATTTTATGACATGAAAATATAACTGCAGAAATGAACTATATCATTATCTAGTACACACTGTTAGTGGAATGTGGTAAATATTGTGTAGATTTCACTCAATGAAACAGACACTTACAGACCATCAATGTGCTCCCCTCCCGCCCAGCCTTTATGTGCTTCCAGGAACTGTGCTGGGATTACAAAAAAAGAAGTAAAACACAGTTTTCACTCGCAAAGAAATTATAATCCAGTGAAAAGATAAGCATCTAGACCGGCATACCCAAGTGTTCCGAAGAATTCAGTTTTGCACGATATTGACTGATTAGACAAAAAATAGTGTTGAAGCTTAAGTTTAAGTGTGAGAAACAGTGAACAGGGCTTTTCAGGGTCTCTCATATGCTCGGTGTCTTGGGAATATCTGAGAAGGAGCTACGTTACCATGGAACGCCCTTTTCACAAAACGCGTCAACACCTCATTGGGACAGTTTTCCTTGAACTACCAGATTAGAAAACGTTTTTATAGAAAAGTAAATGTTACATACAGTCAAGAGTTCCGGGATTCATTTGTGTTCCCGTCCTGGGAACAGATCCCTGAAGGGGACGGTTGCAGGGAAGAGCCATGGTGGATGGGACCGTGAAGAAGGACCCTCGTGCCCCCCTAGCCCAGAGCAGCTCAATCAGGTCCTGCTTTCCTGCGCAGAGGGGAGGGTACAGCGTTCGTGACTCGAATGCCTGACTGCACAAGGAGGTCCTCAACATTAACGGACCGCCTGTGGGTGATCGAGGTGGAGATCCCTGGCGTACGCCACAGTGAGTCCCAAATGGTTCTGGTTTCCAGGCAGTGTATATTCTCTAAGAAATCGACTTTGATTTTAAAAAGAGCAAAAACAAACAAACGCAGGAACCACTAAGAGAGAGGAAGTTCCTCAGGTGAGAAAACGCTTTAGTGAAAGAACGTTGCTGTCCCGGGCTATCTCTCCTTTTTACTGGTTCTACAAAGTGGCAGAACAAAGGGAGCAGACGTGTATGAGAGGCCCTCTGCTTCTGAAGGACTCTATTTAGCCAGGAGAGGTTAACTCTGGGGAGGTAAAAAAATCTTATTTGATTCTCAAATGAATCATTTGGGATTGCTTTTCTACAGGCTTCATGGTGACTTTCCTGCTGTTTAACTGTTTTTGTTTTGTGTTGCTCGTCGAGGGTGGGATACGGTTGGGAAGGAAAGGTAGGGAGGTCCTTACCAGTCATGGGCGCCTATGGTTTTGTTCTTCAAAATTCAGTAAGAAGAGACTCTCAGCTGGTCTTGCACTTCCCCATCTGATCCCAAAAGCTTATCCCTCTCATTTTTCCTGTGTATGAGGGACTCCTCACCTTGGTCCCCAGGTTGGCTTCACATCACGTTTTTGGAAAGACTAAGGAATCTGCATTTCAGTGGAACGGCAAATTTAGAGTAAAGACTTAATGTGTTTTTTTAGGCTACTTACTGCAAGAACTGCCCTGTCTCGTTCCACCAAGTCTGCAAGTTTATCCAACAGATGGCCTCTTTCGGAAGCATCCATCCTTCTCCACACTGAACCAAGAGAGAAAGCCAGGCGGGCCGCCTGCACAGCTTTGTCTATGTCTGCCTGTTTGAGAGAGAGGAAGAGGCACAACTGAGGAGACATCACGCTCCAAATAAAGGAAGAACCACCTGCTTTCAGGGAAAAGGTGACGAACAGATGTCAGTGCTGGTGTCCAGAGAGCATAAGCTTAGTGCTCCGTTGCCTGAAGGCAGTTATTTCACAGGGAACATTTTGCTAAGAAGGACATACCTTGTCTGCTTCTTGGACTTCACACACCTGCTCTCCTGTGGCTGGATTATAGACAGGGAACGCTCTCCCGCTCTCCGAGTTCTGCCACTCGTTGTTAATAAAAATCTAAGGGAGCAGACAACAGACGGGGGTCGGTGAGACGGGTGATAGGAAGCCAACCAACGGCCAAGTATTATGGAAGTACCATGGTAGTAATATTTGTTCTCTGTGTTTGCTGGCCTATAAGCGAAGTACAGAATTTGAAGCATTGCAAGAGACCCTCAAATAGTATGCAGTCCAGACTCTCCCGGAATTCAGGAATTTCTTCCATGCTATCCTTACCTCAAGGTTATCCAAATTGAAGTGTAGTTCTTACCTTGAGTAAACTTGCCAACCAGTGAGAGAGTCAAACAAAGATGGAAGGACAGAGTGTCACATACATACAAACAATACACGGAGGCTGTAGAAAATATTTACTGATTGTCCAAACTGGCCAATATCCAAAAGGAGTAAATCATAGAACAAACTGATAGTCATCAAACTTTAGATCCTAGTTCCTCTGTCAGAGGCATAAGTACCTTCACAGTGGAACCTGAAGAGTGCTGGAATCAGTAAGCATTCACTTAATTTATAGTCAGATCCTGAACTGAGCCATGACTTTGAGCAGACTCGTCAGTGAGTTAAACAAGTTACGTGTGTAAATCCAAGTTAGATTTCTTTCCCTTTGCTGGGTAGGCTACCCAGCTCAGCAAAGGGAAAAGGGCTGTCTTTCAAACTGGCCTTTTCCTCTCAAGGATTTCTTAAGACCCTTGGTTTCCTTATAAAGGAAATGGAGATTCTATTAAAATGGCAGAGATTAACAATTTAAAAAATTATTCAAGTTGATATCTCAGAAGATTTGTAAGAAATGAGTTGAAGAAAAAGAGAAAATATAGGCAAAGAAATGTAAAAATTTTTATTGATATTAAAGAGGGAAATGCAAACAAATATTTTTGGACTATGGAAGCTCAAAGAATACAGAAAGACATTTCACTCTATAAAATTTATAGCCTGACAATGAAAATTTCTGAACTTATGAGCCATCAGTCAGTTTAAAATAAACACAATGATTTGTTATTTTCTGCCATTTTAATAGTCACAGATGCTGCTAATGAGGATAGATCTACAATTTTAAATATCAAGTTCTAGATTATTCCAAAGCTTTATTTTTCCTTGATTTGATAAAACAATGAGCCTGTGTTGAAGGAGCCTTCTTTTCCTCAGATTTTTTTTAAAAGATTTTATTTATTTATTTATTTATTTATTTATTTATTTAGGGCAAGAGCAGGGGGGAGGGGCAGAAGGAGAGGGACAATCTTTTTTTTTTTTATTTTATTTATTTATTTGTCAGAGAGAGAGAGATCAAGAGCTCACATGCACAAGCAGGGGGAGTGGCAGGCAGAGGGAGAAGCCGGCTCCCCACTGGGCAACGAGCCCCACACGGGATGCAGGACTCAATCCCAGGACCCTGGGATCATGACCTGAGCCATAAGCAGATGCTTAACTGATGGAGCCTCCCCAGAGTCCCAAGAGAGGGCAAATCTTAAGCAGACTTCACACTGAACAGGGAGCCTGATGCAGGGCTCAATCCCAGGACCCTGAGATCATGACCTGAGTGGAAATCAAAGAGTCGGATGCTCAACTGACTGAGCCACCCAGGCGCCCCCTGAAGGCTTTTTAAGATAAAGGGGAAAAAAGCTTAAAATTGCATAAGTACTTAATTCATATGTAACAAGCATAAACACAATGACCTTGTAATTGCATAACATTTTAAATGTACAATTTATACACACACTTAATGTAATGTATTCATTTATTCAAGCAATACTCAGATACTTCTAGATATAGGACAGGCAAAAATGACTAGTAGTTCCAGCTGCCCAGGGTCTTCCAGTGTCTAGTAATTCATTAAATATTCGCAACAACCCTAATGGCAGGATTTTATTATCTCTACTAAAGATGAGAAAGTTGAGAGGATGGGAGGTTAAGAGTCTGACGAAGCAGGTTCTCGTTGTGGCTCTGAGTCAGTCCACCACTCTCTCCACTACATCAGAGTTTGCAGGATTGCTCAGAACAAAGAAACACAACTAGTTAGTGTCCAAGCCTGAATGAGATCCATAGTTCTTGGGACTCCTGGTTTAGTTCTCCTTCCACTCCACTTAACAAACTTCCTAACAGTTCCCAGCTCATCAGATTTGCATACTCCTTTGAAACACAATATGATCTCCGAGGAAACAAAGGGAAAAAACTGAAAGATCAGTTTCGCTTCTAGAGCATTGTCAGGCTTAAGGAAGAGGGGTCTTGCCAATATTGCTTATTCTCTTTATTCACTATTTGAATGAAACTTAACCTTTTTAGTCCAATTTTAGTTTTTAGCTTCGGTACTGAGCAGTTCTAACTATATGTAAGAATTGGTATTTCATGACTTTTATTGATTCTTAGAGGTAGGTCTTCCAAAGATCAAAGAGAAAAATTACTTATTTTTTAGCAGGATAAAACTCACTCATTCTCTTACTGTTTTCATTTAGGTACATGGATCATCTTATCAATTTAAGATACATTGTACGACCTTAGTGATCTTTCCCTGTATCTTGAAACATTTTGCTATTTCATCATCCTAGGCATCATCCCATTATCACTCATCATTTATTTCCAACCATGCTAAAAAAGAACAACACAAAAAATTATGGAACTTTCCAGAAATGAGTAAATAAATACATCACAACTACCTCATCATCCTTTAGTGGTGCTGGAAATCAAGTACATACTCAAAAACCTGTGGAGACATACCAAAAAGACACAGGAGGAGCTGATGTGAAGGGGCTCCCAATGACCAATACTGGGATAATTTAAGCAACAAAATAAATAATGATAGCAATGGATTATCACCCATAGAATTAAAGAGGCACCCATAATGATACAAATTTTTTAATGAATATGTAAAGTGGGGGATAAGGTAAAGCTCTGCTTCACAGAATTCCAACTAATAGCTGTGAAGGAATGATGGGATTAGATAATCACCACGTGTCAAATACCACAGTAATTGCTGGAGGCAAAAATCATCAATGCATGGTAAAATCAGTGGATAAAAGTAAAATGGAAGACTGGATGTTTTTGTAGTCTCACCCTCAAGATACTTATTAATTACAAAGGAAAAACAGGAACTTTATGTTAGAGAAACTTGGCAGATGGCACCTTAATCAAGCGATCAATGTTAACATCACCAGTAACAGGACAAATTAATTGTTATTGACATTTTATCTGCTTGTCCTAACAATAATTAGAAAGCTGTGTCGAGATCTCTTGCTTTGGTGGTGGATTTGTCAATATATCCCTTAGGGTCATCATTTTTATCTTTATAAATTTTAGGTTATTTTATTAGTGAATGTAAGTGCTTAACTATTAAATCTGGTAAAACAGAACCATTTATCAATATGAAGTGGTCCTCTTCACTACTAATAAAGCTTTGTGCCTTATAGCCTATTTTGTTTAATATTAGTAAAGCTACCTAAGCTTTTCTGTATTTCTGTAGTATTTCCCTGATAGATCTTTCCCCATCCTTTTACTCTCAACTATGTCTTTATTATTTTGCTGTGCCTCTTTAAATGATGTATGGCTAGATTTTATTTTAGTCAATATAAAAATCTCTATCTTTTAACTGGCAAGTTTAATACATTTGTATTTATTGTAATCATATATTGTGTTATATACTGTGTGATATTTGGACTAGATACTTTCAATCTGTCTTATTTTACTTCCTGTTTTATTGTGCCTCTTTTTTTAGTTGACTAACTACTGATGTTGGTTTTACAATTCAGTTTCCTCATTATTGGTTTGGAAGTTGTATACTATATTTCTATTCTCTCATAGGTCACCCATGATATTTTATTATGCATATTTAACAACTTGAAGTTTAAAGTTCATATATATCTTAACATTCCTCCCAAACAATTATAACAGCTTTGGAACACTAAATCTAATTGCTCTCCTCCAGGGGTTTATTATAAAATTATTATTCTGTACAGAAAACAATTTCTCATATTTAAGATTGTTTTTAAAAATTTCATTCTCATGATTCCTTAGAATTTCATTTAGTCAAGATTTATTGGGAATAAAGTCTCAATTCTGAACATATTTTTATTGCACCCTCATTTTCAAAAGATATCCCAAGAAGGTTACACAATTCTAGAGACAAATACTTTCTCACAATATTTTGAGTATATTTATTATTCCAATATTTTCTATCTTGCAATGGTGTTTATAAGAAGTCTGCTGTAAGTCTCTGATTATAACTTCCTGTTTATGATTTGCCTTTTCTGTCTGGTTGCTTTTCAGATCTTGTCTTTGCCTTGGTGTTTTTAAGTTTCATCACAATATGTCCAAGAATCAATTTCTTTATCTCAGTCATTAAGCACTGTGCTCACAGTGTGTGTGAAAAATCTGTCTCATACGTTCTGGAGTATTCTTAATCATTATCATCATTTCCTTAAATATCATTCTCTTTACTCTTTCCTTCTGGAACTCCAAGTGTTACACCTTTGTAGTCCACCCTCAATGTCCATTATCTATTCATATTTCCCATCCCCCCTCTTTTAAAATATTTTATGTAAAAATAGCTTTATTGTTTTTGTCAGTGTGGGATATATTCTTCTAAACAATTCAAACTATACAAAAAAACACAGAGAAGTAAAAAAACACCTCAAATTTCATCATCCACAGATAGCCAAAGTTCACACAGTCATATCTCTAAGCCCCATACATATATATAATTTTATAAAACAAGATCACATCTCTATGAGCTGGACAACTTGCTTTTAAAAACTTAACAATATTCTACAGACATTTTTTAACGGTTTCTTTGTATTCCAATGTGTATGTTTACACATATGTAGATAGGTGACTGTGCAGGTTGCATGGGTGCACGTATGTGCATAGCTTAATTTATTCACTCATTCGATCTTCTACTGAAAAATGCTTCATTATTTCCATTCATCTCCTTTTTTCTTTGTGTTGCAATTGGGCTGTTTCTTCAGTCTGTTATCCAGTTCTCTTTACCTGGATCTAATCTGCTAATTTCAATGTCTGTG